GAAAAATAAATAATATTAATGAAAATAAGAAAAAATAAAACGAGAATGAAATGATTGCGTGGGCGAGCAAGTTTTTGACACCGCCATCTTTGGCGATTTTTCATTTTTTTTTGGCTTTGTCAAATGCCATGAAATTTTATACGTATGTGCAAGGAAGATGAGCATTAGCGAACTTCAGCAATCAAACAGCATCATACATATGAGCCCAGATAGTCTTGACCTCGAACCACAGCAGACTTGCATCACGAGATACACCAAATAAGAACACACCGAGAGTTCAAAATTGACAATGCTGAAGTAGTCCCATCATCATCAACTACGAACCAGAGTTGATATCCTATTGGCGCTCGGCGCCCAGACTACATGTGGCAGATCCTATCTAGCCTATACTACGAAGCAGAATGATGACATCAACAGCGTTCCCGAAGTACAAGCATATGGCACGCTTCAGCACCAGGTATGTCTCTCGCAACACTCCCAACCCCGATCCACACTGCACAGATGCCACTAGCACCCAAGGACCACCCTGCGCTTCACCTAGCATACAGCAGCGCAGCTTGGCTATGGCTGCGTGCTCCCTCCTACTCGCCCGTGAGAGCGTGAGTGCCAGCCAGCCAGCGGATAGCGCAGCAGCGCTCGCGCAGCATGCAGCCAGCACCCGAATGCCGAATGAGGAGGCAGGCCCTTCCCTATATCGAAGTGGCCTGCCTGCGTCCAGTCCAGGAAGCTTCCAGTAGGCCTCGGTAGCCTGAGGCCCAGTCACGAAGAACGCAGGCCTTGGGCCTGAAGTGGTCGCATGTGCCCAACTGTTTTCGGCCTGTGCTTGGCCCGGTACCCGTATCCAGCCCAGGGCCTGCTTTACATTCATTCACATAGGCGGCCCAGGGCCTGAGTTCATTCAACCAACTGGCGCTGCGCAACTGCCTGAATTTCCCCAGTTGCGGGGTACCCTGAAAAACGAGGCCCTGTGTCGTGCCTGCCTTCACTTAGGGCGGCCAACCTTGCTGCAAATAAGGCGGCTCGCATATGTATCTGTATCTTACATAATAGAGAACCTACAAATAAAGTTTGAAAAAATAATAATTTTTTTCAGGCCCCGAAATAAAGGGAAAACAAAAAGTGAAAAGAGAAAAAAAACAAATCAGTAAGTGGGAAAGCAAGTTTTGACACCACCATCTTTGCCGGTTTTGCATTATTGTTTGGCTCGACAGAATGACTTCAAAATTGAGAGACAGGTAGCTTACATAACAGAGAACTTTTTTTAAAAAAATCAGAAAAGAATAATAATTTTTAGGTACCAAAATATTTTTTTGCGGGGTCCAAACCCCTTCGAGTTCGGGCCCCGTACGGGGACCCGAACGCCCGAACGTTCGGGGGTCAGCTTAGGGGCCTCCGTACGTTCCGCCTGGCAACTCTGTATATATATTTTGGTAAAGAGTGTTGATGTGACCCCGAGGCAAAAGTTGTTCAAGTTATTTTTCTGCATAACATAGTTGTTTTGCGATTCTTTTTTTTTCTTCTTTTCTTTTCTTTTGGCATTCGGGCTTGGCCGACCACGTCCGCAAGACGGGCCGAACAGCACTTCGGCCAGACCCGAACGCCGGCTACCCTGCCGAGCAGTCTAGAGTCTGTCTCTTATACACATCTAGATGTGTATAAGAGACAGGTGTTGATGTGACCCCGAGGCAAAAGTTGTTCAAGTTATTTTTCTGCATAACATAGTTGTTTTGCGATTCTTTTTTTTTCTTCTTTTCTTTTCTTTTGGCATTCGGGCTTGGCCGACCACGTCCGCAAGACGGGCCGAACAGCACTTCGGCCAGACCCGAACGCCGGCTACCCTGCCGAGCAGTCTAGAGTGTTAGAGTGTGGTCCAACAAAAGAGTAAAAATTCGGTTAGGAGTCAGATCCCTCATTGATCTGCATGACGGCAGTAGGATTGACTTGCAGATGCCATTCACACCAAAGTTAGAATCCCGGAAGGCAGGCTAGAATGATAGATGCCCCGCCATGGGATATCACTGTTAGGTTCCAGGGATTTGACAACCAATCCTGATGTCCATCTTGTTCAGAGAAATGAACATTTTACCAACAAAGTAGGACCATTAGCACCATTTATCCCACCGTTTCAGACGTGACCTATTCCATCAACTATCACTCCCCTCCATTTCATCAGATGGTGAACCACACCGCCCTTCCCACAACCAATGCAGAGCATGATGCATGCATTACATTCCCCCTCTTCCCGATTGCGTAGGATACCTTCCCATACTTTAAAAGTCCTTGCGAATGGCTGTGTTGTGCACCATTAGCACCATTTATCCCACCTTTTTAGACGGGACAGATTAAATCAGCTATCGCTTCCCTCGATTCACCGACAACCAATGTAAAGCATGATGCATACATTACATTCCCCCTCTTCCCGATCGCTACCCCCTCTCCTCGTGGTGAAATACTCGCCCAAACAGTCATGACAATACTCTCTTCCCCTCCCTTGTTGTTAATACCTCCCTTGTTGCTCCTAACACCTTGGCTGCCATGACAAGAAGGGATGAAGCAAGATCTACTAGCAAATCTCTTTCTCACACCCTGATATCTTGATAACTGCGAAATGCCCAATTACAGCATTCCTTCGCCAGCACAGTACTCAATAATTTTTCCTTGTTGGAGAGATCCAAAATTCAAGAAATCTTCTCTTCCTAATAGAATGGCCAAGTAAAGGAGGATTTGGATCAGGATGGCGAACAGTGTGATGGTGGGGCAACGTCGACCCTCGTGTCGCAGGCATGCCCATTTTCGATCTTTGCAAGTGCGTGCGGGGAAATTTCCTGAGGAAGACCTGTCGGCTGTGGGTACCAATCATGCAAGCAGGAGCTTGCATATATTGGAACCCCCTGGTTGTCATACATCTGACACACTAGGATCTGCTATCGCGACTTCTTATGCAGACTTGGCATTGTGTGAAACTCCTGTGATTGTGTTAATGGTGGTCTCATTCTAATTGGAAAGAAGCTTGAAAAAGATGAGGAAATTATAAACGACTTCCAAGCTGCCGGGAAACAGCAAAGACCCAGAAGGGTGTCATAAACGTTAATCTATGGAAGAAAATAAAGAATAATACACACGCGGGCAAGGGTACTGTGCGCGGCGCAGAGGTTAACCCTAGCCTAAACTTAAAGCACTCGTCAAGAGGTAGCATATTCCAAAAAGAGAAGGAGAAACATACATCCCACATAGTGGGCCCAACGGATTCCAATTCCAGTAGGGGTACAGAAAGTGGATTCAAGATATACTGGAGGCAGAAGGAAGACATCATCTCGTAGTCAGGTTTGACAGAAACAAGGAGGCCAATGACAGTTGAGCTCGAGCACTAGAGAGGGGAGCGGAAGAGATAAACAGCAGAGCGGATAGAGAAAGGAACAGAGCAGCAAGTGCAGCTCAATAAGAACTCAGTCCAGAGCAGGGAAGATTTTGTGAAAAACGACCCCAGACCATCAAGAAGGCAACAGCCTCCCAGTTTGAGTGGAGAAGAGTATTTCAGCCTCTGGCCAGCGCCAAAATCGGGTTCAGTCCCAACTCGCATCGAGATCTGTATAAAATTTTGCTACCGCTGTGAGATAGGTGACATGACAACAGGGGAACCTAGTGCTCTGCTTCCTCTCTCTCTCTCTCTCTCTCTCTCTCTCTCTCTCTCTCTCTCTCTCTCTCTCTCTCCATATTCAAGATGCATGAGGCAGAGGGGGTGCAGAAGTCTATGGCGTTATTTATAGTCTGAAAAAAAGAGAAAAACAAGAGTCTATCAACATTATAGAAAGGGTTTGCTCTTGCATATCACACGAGTTTAGACAGTATGCGCTGGTGGACAGGGAGGAACAACCTCAACTGGTTTTGAGCATTTTTTTCATCTTTTTTTTTTTTTTTTTTTGAGGAGGGGGGGGGGGGGGGGGGGGGAGGTGGTTGTAAAGAGGAAAAGGGCTCTGCAAGATGATATGGCCTTAGCTGACAGTCCATCCTTCCTGAAAGGAGGCAAAATCAATGCTGTCCGGATTCCCCTGGCCGTAACCGGGGGAAGTGTCAAGTGCATAAATGTTATAAATTACACAGTTTTTTTTTTTTTTTGACTTACAGATGGAATAGGAACTGGACTGACGCTCCCCAAAAAGGACATGGAGCCAGGCCCAAAAGGACCTGTTAAAGCACCAGTACAAAACACATCGGCCCGTGGGTGTCAGCACGAAACCCGCACCACTTTGGAGGGCGCCGATTTTTTTTTTCAACAGCGCCCCATGCCGCGCAGCTCCTACGAGTTTTGCTAGTGGCGACAAAAACTTTCTGCAAGGCTGGGGCCGTGTACTTGCGGTTTAAGGGGCCAAAAAAAGGGCATCAGAATAAAAATTTCCGCAGAAACAGTAAGTGCCTGAGAATTTTCTCACTTCACCTTTCACGAAGTGGCCTTGACATTACTTACAACAGTAGGCTCAAACACAGTGTCAGGGGCACAGAGTGTGTGATTGAAGGCTACCGCTTGGACCTTTCCACAAAGCAACCTCAATATTGTTGTTACATTTTACACCAGTTTATGCTATTCACCTCATCACCATTCATGGTGGTCTTTTAGCACCCAATGCTTGGCAATTTCCTGGTGAAACAACAATGAACAAGCAAGAGTCGGGCTACTAGACGATTTTTTCAATTCTGGCAAGGCATAACCAGCACAGGAAATTCAAACATAGATCAAAACATCCAAGGAGTAGGAAAATATGGACTGAGGATCAGGCAAGATCGAGGACATGTTGACACTCAAGCAGATGAAATCAAGGACATTGTGCATACACACACACACGTTTGCTCACATGTACACAAAAAAAAAATATACTCGTAAACATGAAGGGTTGCATATGGGAAAAGCAAGATGTGGTATGCCAAAGAGAGACGGCAGGAAACATATGGAGGGACATAAAGAAGGGTGCAGATAGGCTGGCGGAGGAGATAGTGAAGAGTACCTGAGTTCCAGATGGTGTCATAGAGTGTCCACACCGAGGCGCTGGCACCGGACCTGGAAGCGTCAACTTCGTCCATGCCGGTGACTCTGCAGAACGTTCAGCCAGGGATCTTGTGAAAAAGAGAAGACAAACAGTAATATACCTTTCCCAATCGGGATGCATGCACACGAAAATTGCCAGCTGCATTCACTTAGTTTTCAATTGGGGGCCTTCTGCACTGCTTTTCTATCCGACAGGAGGTTAGACTGTTCTAGCATTTTTTACAGTATACGATGGACGGGATGCTTGACTTCCGAAGCTTCCTTGGCGAACCCCGTTTCAGGAATTCGGCAGACCTAGTATCAGTCAGGACTGGCAGGGTTCCTTCCGCAAGAATATACAGCAGACCCCATTTGTCACACGCTCACCAATCAAGGTCCAAAATTTACACAGTAGCTAAGTTCATGCTCCACCATGAGCTGGGTGCTTCTTGCTTTCTTCATATTCTGAACCTAGTGGACCATGCAACACCGACTGTACGCCTCTGTGCTGGTAGGGCCAGTTTGCCCTACCATAAACCTTTCAAATGTTGCAAGGAATGTTGCTTACGTGGCTGGGCAACAAGAGTAAGTAAGGTAGGCCCAAGCCAGGGCCCTAATTTCCCTAACCACCTGACCTGCTAGGCAGAGTCCCTATTGGGACGCCCAGAACCCGGCCAAGACAAGAGAAAAGTAGAGGCGCTTGCTTGCCACAGTGCTGGCAATCTTGCGCGCAGCGAGCACAGCGGTGCTTGGCCCAGGGAGACACCACTAGCAGAGCACTGGCAGCATCAGCTGAGGTGCAGCGAGTGGAGTGTGGCAACTCTGGCAAGGTGGAAGAGGTGGTCCTGAGAGGAGAAGACAGGCTGTGGGACAGGCGGCTGCTTACCTGGTGGTCGGTGGGAGGGCAGCCATGTGATCCGGATCTCCAGCAAGGTCAGAGAGAGAGAGAGAGAGAGAGAGAGAGAGAGAGAGAGAGAGAGAGAGAGAGAG